TTGTTAAGAGAATTTTCTTTAGAATTAAAGAAGGCACTTTGTGATTATGTAAACTGTTGCCAATAGTTATCGCAATTAACAAGGTAATACAATTCAATAGTTACAGTGATAAACCATAAAATCTCTGAATACCTATAACTATTTTATTAAGAAAAAGGATGATGATTATTAAGGATGAGGAATGTAAACGCACACTAATGAATGGAGGAGAAATATAAGTGTTCCATGCTTCAGGCACACAAATGGGATTTACACTTGGAAAGAATTTGTTCTCGAATTTGTTCTACAAATGGGGCATTTTTATATGGAACGATCTATACTTATAAGGTACAATTTTTCAACTCAAAGACATGAAAAGCTCAGCTCCCAGTATATTCCTAGAGAAAGAGGATTAACCTACTTAAAAAAGGTTAAAGAACATGTTCCTCAGTGATGAAATTCCCACACACAGACCCATGTAAACCCTTTGGTCAACTCGACAAACAGCATGGACTCACTTAAATCAGCTCTAATCAGCAAGCACTTATATGACCAGAGATATCTCTTAATGCCAGCCCATCATACGATTTCATATTGGTTTTCAAGACATGAAAGACACCATCAAGTGGCTCAATTTTCTTTAAGAACGTTGATTGAGGAAAACGTCGGACCAAAGATGTAAGTCAGACAAAAACCTTTCCCCATATATCTATAGAGAAGAAGTCACTTGGTGGACATGATCACTAACACCACCTTGTGCTCTAGGGGGCAATCTCTAAATGCAGGAATTTTACAATTTTGCTTGATACTTAGCGCACATGATATAGTTTCAAGAGTGGCTATAAATATTATATTAATAGTTTTACACCAATCTCTCAACATATTAATTTACGGTCCCAAATTGGTATCTTAAAATCAGTATACAGTTGGAAAAAGTAGACAGAAACAGTGAAGCATAAAATATGAGACTTACAATAGCACGTTCTGCAACCATATGGCGTGGGAATTGTCTTTGAGTTCCCTCAATGTCACCACTTTGTTTATAGTATTCCCTAATCTTTCTTGTGCTGTCCTTTTGTATTAAAAATCTTGGTCAAGAAAATCATATGAAGATAGACACTAAAATAATTAATACAAAATTCTTGTTTAAAATTCAAAATTCACAAAAAAAAAAAAAAAGAATAACATAACAGAAAGGATATCTCCTTCTCGTGGGTCAAGAATCATGTCAACAGCAGCTTTCCATTCTCCACGCAGCAATGCAGCCCCAATGAGATGGGTTGGTATAGAACTGCTTCCAAATCGCTGAAAGTATCAAACACTACCAGCCAGTTAATCTCAAAATAAAAGTAGTTCATCCATTGGAAGATCAACTCATAAATGCAACTATAGTGACCTGCTAAAATTATATTTATATGTACTTAAACGACCTTCACAAGTAATTTTTCCAAATGATTTACAAAATTTCTCTATGGTTTATAAACTTTTAAATCATTTTAAAGAAATGAAAATAAGTAATTCACATACAAAATAAATATGTGGTTATCTTAAAGATTAGACAAATTAAAAGGAAACTAATTAGAACTTGAATACAATTGATAAAATCACTTATTAGAAAGGTAGCTTATATGTTAGTAGTTTGTTTATTTCTTTTTTTGGGCTTATTGACTCCTGAGTTTAGATAAGATCCAAAAAGTCCATTACTTCAAGGGTAAAATTAGGTGGTATAATTCAAATAATAAGCACAAAAAAAAATAAAATTGCTAGTTTGTCTTGGAATGGGTTTTTAGGTGGTATAATTTAAATAACTTTTGTCCATTTTGCCCTCACATGCTTTTTATTTGGAATTTTTATAAATTAGTAAAATAAATACATATATATATAGAAGGGTAAAAAAATAACTGTATGTAATAAAATAAAGTTACAAAAGCTTTAGAACATCCAGGTATGAAAGAATAACAAAAGATTTGGGACAAAAGCAGTCCGTACTTATTGGCATCCTTTGCTTTTGAGTTTTTTTTTTTGTTTTCAATTTATTTAATATGCAATCCTCACAATTTCCTATAAAAATACACCATTTCCTTCACAAAACATCACATCCAACCACTATTTAAACAAGTCAAAAGTAAAGAAAGCCAAGGTAATTTTTGTATTTTTGTTAGAATTAAGTGAAACCTATATCTATTTGTCTACTAAAGCTCCAATGGATTATTAATTCGGACCTACCATTAAATGTTTATGTCCACATTATACTTCAAAATGTTTCATAGAGAACAAGCCTAGGTGCATATAATCTTTACACCTTGACAGGTTTATGTCTGTGCTACTTTAGCCAGCCTAGGTGTAAAGAATTTTATCAGGAGGTACTAATCCTAAATGGTTTCTTAAGCTCTACTAATGCATGAACAGCAAAAAGAAAATTTTCCAGTTGCAAAAGATCTTTTAATCAATAGCATAACCTGTAGACCAAAATAATTGATAAACCCGCTCTTCTCTAAAGTGGCAGCAGATGCTCTGACAATATCTTCACTCTCAGCACTAACGTTTCTGCAAAGATAAGTCCATTTGTGCAATAAATATACATTAAACAAGGTCTGAAAATGCTTTGACGTAGCAAATTTAGCAACATGAAAATACCTTAATGTGATTGTGAATCGATTTCCCAGGAGCTGACCAAGAACAAGCCCTTCATTAACATAGCTAAAAAATTGAAAATAACAAAATCAGTAAGATGACTCAAGAATTGAAAAGCAGATGAGAAAAGATTTGCATGGCAATGCTCTTACCAGAAGTTTCCAACTTTCATGCCAAATAGTTTTTCATTAAGTGCACATAACCTACTTGCCCTCTGCTTATAAACAGTAACCTAAAGGCATAGATAAAAGAATGAGCAATGGAGAAAAAAAAAAAAAGAAAGTGTAAAGCATACCATACGATAACAAGAAGATAAAACAGTAAAATCAATTCAAATTTTCTAAAAACAAAAAATCAACAATGAAAGAAAATGATCAGGATTCATTTTGGCTTAATTCAAATAATGAAAAATTAAACAACAAACTTCAAATGGCCAAGCATCGAGTCATGCAAAGGCTCACTCGTGTTTAACAGTAATAGTTTCAGGTTACAAGTGAAAGCAGTGCACTCTCTAGTCTCTAAGTTTTCTATTATTTTCTTTTGGTTTTTCCTTTTGCTGTAAACTAAAATGCAAAATGTTAAAATGAAATCTCTAGGCGTGAAGGGAATTACCAACTAGAAAATCGGACTAAAAATTATAAAAGCCTAAAAATGGTCCATTAATCCAGATCAATGATGGCTGCAAATGGGCAACCAAATTTAAAAATTAGTAGCCAGGTTGATGACTGCAAACTTCCAAAATACTAGCCAAAGTGGCATCCAAATTGATGCATAGGCATATAATGGTGGTGGCAATATTGACATCCAAGTGGTTGTCAAATGTGAGTGGATAGGTTGGTAATTAGAAGTCTGACATTTACATGGAGACCATTTTTTAACATAACTGCTGACCTTGAGTTGCAGATCATTTCCTAAAATAGCAATCAATTGCCCTTACCATGATGGTGGTATAGACCACTTCTCAACACGGACGGGGAACAATAGATAATTAGCTTTTTGAAAATCAGGTATTTGGAAAACCCTTATTGATATTTCAGTACTACTATGGCTTGAGAATCAAATTATTTAAAAACGTGTAGAGAGCAACAAGATATACGAGATTACCCTTTGAGTGGAAACAGATCGTTTGTCTTTCGTGCCAGCAAAACCAAAGGATCTTGACTGTAAATTGAGAAATTAGACATTAAAACAAGTTCAATCCATATGCCATACATCTGTAGGAAGGAGAAAGATTAAAAACAAAGTAAAAGACTAGGAGTCTAGAACTATAGTAAAACCATACATGAGATGAAATAAATAATCGCAACAATAACCCTGAGTAAAAATTTTAAATACCTGAATGCCAAGCATCTTCCCAAGGATCCCTAAAGCTTCCTGTGTGTCTTTATTCTCCTTGTAAAGATGGAATCTAATAATTAAGTAAAAATCCCTATTAGCTGTTCTTGCCACTAACTCTATAAGACATGTTTACTTTCCTTAATTAAAATAACTTGAATATGTAAACCCCCTATTAGCATACAATTTATCAGTCATCTCATAAAGCAGAGATCTATCAAGAAAGTAGCAAACTGTGTTAATTTTATTTCAATCAACTTTATGTAAAAGTTGTGCATCACCTAAGAAACTTGCCGATGTGCTCTGGCCAATTATCTGAGCCTCTAGAATCATATGGTTTATCACCACGATCTTTCCTCTTCCTAGAGTTCCTTCCTCTTGTTTGATTACTTCCTGAATCCAACCGCACACGAATACATTTTGAGAAGGAATCAGGTCCATCAACTGTATCAGTTACAAGGAATTTGAGTTTCTCCTTGAAGAAGTTATGAATAGCCTGAAAATAATCATGTAAATTTGTAATGTGAACCACTGTAATATAATTGGAAACCTAATATGCAAATAGTACAATCTGTTCAGACTACCGTTCGATGGGACTTATCAGAGTTTGGAGAGAGGACAATGCAATCATTATTGGCATTTTCTCCTGAAACAATTTGATCTGTGAAACTCTTCAGCTTCTCAGCATCTGAGTCACCAACAAGAGCTTTAAAAGATTCTATCTCAGGTGCATAATCTCTACCAAGTAGATCAACTACCTTTTCCTTCTTGTCCTCAACAACCTACCAGACCAAATTATGGGCTAGTAATATTAGAAAAAATTCCATGGCACTTTAAATACAGAAAAGCAATCGTACAATCACAAAGGAAAAATTGCATACCTCTGATGGAGCCTCCAAAGAAGTTAAATGAACAATATTTCCATCCAAGTCCACTTCGTTTACAATAAAATCTGAGTATCTGGAAAGGAACTAATAAGAGAGATGCCTGCACACTTCTTCCTGGAACACTAGCTTTGAATTCCAGTAAACAACTGAATTGAAAGATGTAAAATTCAACAACACAACTTGACCCATGCACATGCTAATAAGGGATTTTGTCCACATATTTGTTTCTGGCATTCACAAGTTACTGGGTTACTGATCAATTTTTTTGTTTTTTACTCAACAAAGTGTTCCAGTATATTCACCATACCCAAGGGAGGTATGATTTACAAGGCCATCAGTCTGAATAACTAATCTATACTTAACATACCTTTTTTGTACTAACTACATTTGTATTCCAGAATATGCAAGTGCACAAACTTCCTAAATTACATCAAGCTATTTGCCCCCAAGTTTCCATGAGCCCTACTATGCATTCCTTTGATCGCATCTGCTATTGTGTGCATGGAAACAATTGCTTGCCAGTTGCTTTTATTTTCTTGGGATACAATACAGGTATTCAGCATTCCGTCGTCAGCCGCTGCAGGAGCAGCAGTGCATCCTTTTGCACCATATCATTGAATTTCCACATAATCACTGCATTCCATGTACAATAATCAGGTGCAATACCCCTTTCCACCATCTGCACTAACACCTTTAAGACTTGGCATAGCTCTCCTTGGGCTTGGATGCACATTGCATTGATCACCAGTGCATAACTCTCTGAATCAGGTAAACAGCCCCTCATCTTCAGATCCTCCAAGAGTCTCAATGCAGACCCAACTTTCCCCTGCCGGCACAAACCATCCAACAAAGAATTAAATGTAGATGCAACAGGAAAATAACCAAGCCGCACCATTTCATTCATCAGCTCAACTCCTTCCCTTGTGCATCCTTTCTTGCACAGCCCTTGAATCACGCTTGCATAAACAATAACACTTGAAAAGTCGCCTCCTTCACGCATCCCATCTAGAACTTGCTTAGCTTCCTCCACGTTGCCTTTTTCACATAAATGCAGAATAGTTGAACTCTGATTTACAGCATGGGGAAACACTCTTTCCATGTATTTTAGGAACTTGTATGCTTGGTACAGATTATTATCCCTATATAACCCATACAGAATGCTATTATAAGGACCAATGCGTCCATCACAACCCCAGCCTTCATTCTCCATCATCAGTCGGAATATTATAAACCCATCCTTAGTCCTTCCAGAGGAACACAACCCATGAATCAGTGTATCAAATGTAAAAAAATTCCAGGGTACACCCATCCTTTGCATCTCATAAAATGTTTCGATGGCTGAATCCAGCATCCAGGTTGCACAGAAACCAGAAATAACAACATTGTAAGTTTCGGTGTTTGGTAGACACCCTTTCAATTCCATCTGCTTAAGAAACCCATGGGCTGCTCCAGCTTTTCCAGCTTTGACAAAACCCTTTAATAAAGTGTTATAAGCTACGACATCAAGAGTACCTCCCTTTCCCTCCACCCTCTCTAACACCTCAACTGCCTCCCAAAGACGATCTGAATGGCACATAATTTCGACCACCTTAGTCAAAGTAACCACATCTGGCACAAACCCATGATTAAAGCACTTCTCCAACATCACTAGAGCTTGCACTAGATTATTTGCATCACAATATGCAGAAATCAAAATGTTAAAAGTAACATCACTAAGTTCTTTCATTTCATGCATAAGGCTCCTAGCTCTGCCAAGCTTACCATTCTTACAAAGAGCATATATCAGTGTATTGTATACCACAACATTAACCTTGATTCCATGACTCTTCAACACTTGCAATAACTTGAACCCATCACCTATTCTATTAGTTACGCAAAAACCTTTCATCAAAATCCCATAAGTGTAATCATCACCCTTCACACCATTCAGCATCATTTTCTTCCTATAGAACTCCCTAGCTATGTCAATATCTTCCATCACCAAGATATCCAGAACTGTATTCAGCAGCTTCAAAGAAGGAGAACCTTTCCCTAACATAGGCACCAAATCAAGAACCCTAACCACTTCCCTAGTCATTCTAGCTCGGCCATAACCACGGGCAACAGTAATGAATGTGTCATCATCTAGGGGCAAACCAACAATCTTGGGAATTTCTTCGAGCAGTTGCTGGACAGCAATGAATTTCCGAAAAGTACAGAGCTTGTGGAGCAGAGCCCGGCAGGTGGACAGAGTATGGGTGAAGTTAGGAATCTTGGTAGCCCATTGGAAGGTTTGGAGTGCTTCCCTTGATGATTTTTGCTCCAAAATGAGGTCGGCTATTTTCTGGTGGCTTGGGGTGAAAGTAGAGAAGAATCTTGATGGAGTGCTTGAGAAAAGCAGGGTCAGCCTGCTTCTCTTTATGAGTTTTGAAATGTCAAAGATAGCAAGCATATCTCGGTTTTTCTAATCTTGTATGGGGCATACACACTACTTACTTCGGTCCGTCCCGTGTGTTATTTTTCAGCAAAAACTTGCACAGCATGAGGCGCTGCTCATATCTAAGGATGCCATCATCCATCTGTGCCTAACCACACCATTTTGCACACTGGTTAACAACACTCTATCAGAGATTATAGCTTCAATACTCATTTAAATGTCTATACTATGCTATAATGTGCAAGATGTGTAAGTAACTATCTTGGTCCTCAGGCAAAGAACAACTAAGTAATTACCTTCAATTATAATCCATCTAATAACATCTTTTGTCCATGAATCATTTACAGGGAAGTGGTAATCATCAGTGGACCTTTACCATACATGTTAAGAACAACATTAATTCACGTAAAAAACCATTTAGATACTCGCAGTCACTTGTCTATTGCATCAGCTCAAAAATGATCACGTGGTTAAAGCCATTTGGCATGAGTAACAATGACAGCACAAATAAACAAAACTCAAGTTTCAATATAAACAAAATTTTGAAGTGCCCTACTCATGCCCCTTACTCAGGCGAACCCTAAACCTCACTTTAGAGAGAGCAAAATAAATAAAAATAATAAATCTCTACAAATCCAATCCAATTCAATAGAATGCACTTTCCATGATAGATTTCTGAACATTTAGCTGGCCTATCCCAAACAACTTACGAAGTTAAAAGTACCATTTCACATAATAAACTAACGTCGGACATGCGAAAGGGGAATGAAATAAGTGTATAGGCTATGAAGAAAGAAACCTCTGCTTGAGAATTCCACGGAAGCCTGGACCAGAGGAAATGTAGCAGAGAATCCCAACATCTGATTCTTCAGCGGAAGCCATGGCTGTCGGTTAGGGTTTAGCTCCAATGAAAAAGTATATATGTCAAATTATTTATAAGTTTACGGTTTTTAATTTAATTTTATATTTAGGGTGTGTTTGTTTGGAGTTTGGATTTTGAATTGGGATTTGAATAGTAAAAATTTTGAATTTAATAGTTGTATGATGTGATATAAATAAGTGTTGACGTGATGTTTTGAATGTAAAATTGATTTTTAAGTATAATATAAAAAAAATGAAAAATAGATGTTTGATTTGATATTTTTTGGGAGAAAAAAATTGAATGAATAGTTTAGATGCAATCCATTCCTCCGAACAAACCCATCCTAAATACTCTCTCCCTCCCTTCCTTACAAAATAGGTTTTTGAAGTTACCTAATAAATCAAAAAATAATACTAAATATTTTTTTTGGTTAGTGAAAAGTGCTCCTTCCTTACGTACTTTAATCGCATTTTAAATTTTAAATTTTATAATTTTCTTAATTTTAATTAAACTATTTATTTATCTTAATCTTAATTTATAATTATTTTTACTAAATAATAATTATTTTTACTAAATACACTTCTTAATTACTTACTAATTATATTTTACCTAAATTCTAGTGTCTACCGTAATACACTCATATACATGGGACGGAGGGAGTAAAATTTTATATATTTATAATTTAAGTAAAAATTAAAAATATTTTGGTATTAACGTATAATTATATTTTATAAAATAAAAAATTTATATTTTGAAATAAAGCTTATGAAAATAATAAAAATAATAACTTTAATTAAAAAGAATGAAGTACTATTTTTAAAAATAAAAATGCAAATATCCTACCGGAATTTAGGTCGCAACCCGAAACCCGCAATCACATGCCCGATCCGACGTTGTAAAACAAAGAGAAATTCCAAACCTCCGTGAGGTTAGTGATTAGTGACATGGTAGGTATTTGGTATTTTAGGTAAGGTATATTAGTAAATTATTAATAATAAGTTATATTATTCCCGTCCGATTCTAAGGATTCCATTTACTTTGATATTTGAATATTAATTATTATAGTACAAATCAAGAAAAAATAACAAAAATACTTTTACCAGTGTCTTATAATACTATTATAATGATTTTTGTGCAAAATATTATACAAATATAAAGGTGTTTTTAATGTTAAGTACAATAATGCAAAAGATAAATGAAACCTTTAGAGCTGAACTGAAGAAATAATATCTTATTATTTTTATATGAATGGCAGTGGTATTTATATACTTTTGGAATTATATCTTAATAAAATATATGCGATGAATATTTTTTTTTTAAATAATAAAATTTTATATAATATAAATAAATAAAAAATATAGTATTTATTTATTTATAATAACTTAAAACTAATTTTATAAAAAAATAACAAAAAATAAATATAGATACAAATATTTGTTTATTGAGAAAATACAAAAATAAAGAAGTTTTGAATCGGTCGTGTAAAAAGTTATGAACATTTACTCTTTGCACTTTGTTTAAAAAATATTGTATTTTAATAACAATTGAGATTGTTATCAGATGATATAAAAAGACTATTACACTCCTATAGTACTTTTTTTCTTCTTTGTTTTGTATAATTAATGTACATTGCAAGGAAAATAATTAAAATTAGAACCTAAAAAAATGAGCAAATTTACAAAATAATTAAAATTACTGGGATAATTACATAATTACTAGCAAAATTACGAAATAAAAAATTAACTATTGTAATTAAAATTAAAGCCACATAATTAAATTTACAAAATTAAAATTAAATTTACAATTTAGTGCACAAATTTTAATTTACAATGCACATAATTAAGTAGACAATGTTCATATTAAAAAAAAAGTGTACATAATTAGGAAATAAAAAAACAATGCACAAACCATTATCATTCTGTAATATCATACATCGAGAAGGAAAAATCAGTAGAAAATGTGATATATAAATAGAAATCACGATAAATCACATGACATTACACAATAAAAATCATAATGAACACAGATAAAAACCAATGCACAAAACCGCCTCCAAAACATATCTCATTTTCCTCTCAAGGAGGATAATCACATCATTGTCACATCATCTTAACCCTTCTCGTCAAAGGGAAAATTTCTCTCCATTACCAAATACACATTCTCCCCATTAAATTACACTATATATACATCATAAGATCACATATTTCAGCAACTCATTTCATAATGGCTGGAAATATGAAAAAGCAAAATTTTAGCAGCCAATAATCTTAATACCATTGCACAGTTTATGTTGCAGAGGTCTACCAAAAGGAAATCAGAGCACACGAGCAAATTTAGTCAGGTCAGCTAATTTTTATAAAAAAATAAGAAAATAGACCTTTCTCGGGTTAAGAGGAATGAGTTTGATAAAATAGCTTTACAAAATATAGTTGTGCGCAAGAGAGGCACTTATAGAAATATTGCGAAATAGATGAATGTAAGTAAAAGTACTGTCGGGAATCGGGCAAAATTGGGGCTGATCAAACCACACACCAATGCTATCAAGTCTTCCATCAACGAAAAAAACAAGATAGAGAGGTTGAAGCCTTAACTCACTAGAGATTGACAGTGCATCGAAAGTAATCAAATTCCGAAGCACGACACAAGTTGTACACATAGATGAAAGTGGTTTAATCTTACAAATGAGATAGAAAGATACTATCTAGTACCCGATGAGCCAGAGCCATATAGGGCATATCAAAGTAAAAGATTTATCACGAAAGTAATGTTAATATGTGCATTTGCTAGACCGATGTATACAAGTAGTGAAGAATGCATATTCGATGGAAAAAATAGGTATTTTCCCTTTTACCGAAAAAGTTTCAGCCCAAAAAAGTTCAAAGAATAGAGCAGCCGAGACAATGGTTACAAAACCACTAGAATCAATTACAAAGGAAGTCACAAATGAACTTTTAATCAACAAGGAATGTTTTTTCACTTTGTATTTCTATAACTAGACTTCCTTATCTCTCAAAAACATTTCATCATTGGGATATCGATCACAAGTATAAGTCTCCTAAATAAGAATTACACGAGGAATCCTCATTGGTGACTTTATAACATGTGATACCAGCAATAAATGAGAAATTGCCAACTATTAAGGATAAGAATGTCACTATTCAACAAGATAACGCAAAGACGCACATCAATAACTTTGATCCAGATTTCAGATATGCAACAAACAGTGATGGATGGAACATCAATTTGGTGTTTCAACCACCGAACAACCCAGACACAAATGTGAATGACTTGAGATGGTTTCGGGCATTGCAATCTTTACAAATTATACAACCAGGTACCACAGTCAATGACTTACTTGGAGCAGTTCACAAATCATTTGAACAATTGTCACATACCGCTCTAAACTCAGTTTTTTTAAATTTGCAAGCATACCTTGGTGAGATTATGACTAATCTCAAATAAAAAAATTATAAGATCCCTCACCTAGGGAAAGACTCTTTGAAAATGTCAGAGAATCTCCCGTAAGACATTTAAGTTGACCATAAAATGATCAAAACATGTATTGATCATTTGATGGATTTAAATGAAGCAGAAGGCTTGGAGGACTATATAACTTCTCTAGATGAGTTTTAGTAATAGATGAATGCGTAGGTGTAGTAGAACATGCTTTTGATGATAGGATAAATTATGGTTATTACTATAAAACACCTCTATTTAGAGACATTATTTAAGCAATAACCAATAATCTCTTTTACAGGATAACTAAATCAATTTGTACGCCCAACAAGTGTTTGATGGGATGATATGCATGTGTGACACTTTTTGTATGTCATTTTCACAATTTATCATCACAGAGTGTCGTGAACTCACTCTCAGAAATTAATTGACATTTATAGGGTGCTCTCAAATACTAATCATCATCGAGTAAGGGTTGCAGCGTACAAATTTCAATGCACATGTGGTTGCATTACCGTAAAAGTAAGCCTCCAAATACAATATACATCATAGGGCCATCAAATAACACAATCAATGCACTCTCGGATGATAACCGTCATCGAGTGAAGGGCAGTGACTACGAATTCAAATGCACAATGGTTGCATTACTTTAAAAGTAACCCTCCAAATACAATATACATCACAAGGCCATCAAAGAACACAATCGGTACACTCTCGGATGGTAACCTTCATCAAGTGGGGGGTAGTGACTACGAATGGTTGCATTACTTCTACAGTAATCATCCATTATAACTATGCACGATCAGTACACTCTTGGAAGAAAATCGTCATCGAGTGGAAGTTGTTTAGGCAAATAATCTTACGCATATCTGGTGCATTACTCACAGAATAAGTCATTCATAAACAATATGCACTAAACACAACCAACAATCTACATTGCACATAATCACACGAAATTTCATCATTTCAGCCACTAAAATTGAAGTTCCCAACTTCAAGTACTCGTAAAAAAAAAAAAGTCATAGAAGGTATACCTCAGAGTACTAGGGCAAGGTGGTCGTAAGAAGACAATAAATCCTCAAGAACCGAAGGAACACGTCACGGCAGCTACGAGCATCGATTCCGGTTATAAAGGTTTTTTTTGTCATTTCTTTTTGAACGACAACCGGCGACAGACAGAGGAAGACATCCTCGGAGTCTGGCACAACCCAGCCGGAGTACATGTGGGACGATTCTGGAACCTCAGTGTTTAAAGATTCCGAGCCCGTATACGAACAAAGCCTTTCAGCAGACGGCCGAAGGCCCCCCATCTCGAAGGTCTCAAGCTCACCGTCGAAGGTCTCACACATCTTCGGTGCCATGGATCTGTAAAGATCAAAGTCAAAGAGGAAAAGATCGGAATAGGGCTTCGTAGGCGACTGCCGAACGAGGTCGACGGACAAAGCCCGTGGAAGATCCTTTGATAAATCCTCCGATCAATCACAACTGAAGCAATTTTGGGCCATACCGGTGGTCGACAGCGACGGCGCAAGCTAGATCCAGATAGAACGACGAAGATCAAGATCGTGAGAAGACCCTAAGAACACAA